CGTAACGCCAGCCGGAAACGACACCGGGAGGTAGGATCGCAGCTGTCGTGGATGCGTTACGTATGACACAGGAACGAGGCTTTTCACGTTGTTCGAAGCAAAAATCGAAAGTACGAACAACATTTAGCTCAAAATGCGAGGGCAAAACCGAAAAGGTATTATAGTTACATACATTCCACGGGGGTGTTAAGGGACGAAACAGGCGCCATTCACCTGGAGGGCTATAAAATAGTCACAACGAACCAGGACAAGGCTATGGTACTAGGGAGATACTTTGGAAGTGTGCTTAGGGAGGATAGAGGGTGGGTTATCCCGGCTGGAGGGGGTCAACAGATCCAGACTATTGAGGAAATAGTAGTAACACCAGAGGGGGTGCGCAGGGTTCTGTCGAAACTCAACGGAAACAAAGCACCAGGGCCAGACGGGATTCATCCAGCCATCCTTAATCCACTAGCGGATGTCCTTGCTACACCCGTGAGCCTATTCTTCCAAGTGTCACTGGCGGACGGAGTTCTACCTGGTGACTGGAAGACAGCTACTTTGATAGCGCTTCACAAGGGTGGTCAGAAATCCGACATAAGAAACTATAGACCAGTAAGCCTCACCAGCATCCTTTGGAAGTGCATGGAGAAGCTGATTAGGGAACATGTATGTCGACATCTACTGCGTTACACCCTACTAAGCGGTGCGCAGCACGGATTCTTAAAACATAGATCCTGTCTCACTAACCTTCTGTGCTACCTTGAAGAAGTCACAGAGAGGCTAGATGAGGGCCATACCGTCAAGGTTTGCTACCTCGATTTTAGCAAAGCTTTCGACTCTGTGAACCACAGATTGCTCCGTCACAAAATCAAAAGCTTTGGGATAGGTGGAAGGTGGTTGAGTGGTCAAATGAGTGGGACTTAACACTGAATGTGACCAAGTGTCAACTATTGACCAATCAAACAGATCCCTTAGTTGCTACCGGAACGTGGGGAGTGTTCGAAGTCAAACCGGTAGGTACTGCCAAGGATCTTGGGGTAGTAATGAATTCGGATTTCAGCTGCGGCAGCCAATGCAAAATTGCAGCTCGCAAGGCACGGGAAGAACTTTTCCGGCTTAGATCTGCTCTTTCTTGCAGAAAACCGGAAATCTGCGTCCCCTTATACAAGGCGATAGTAAGGCCTCATCTAGAGTACTGTGTCCAAACCTGGGCACCTCTGCATAAAAAAGACGTTGTCTGCCTGGAGAAAGTTCAGAGATTAGCTACAAGAATGGTAGACGGACAGAGGGGTAAATCACACCAGGAAAGACTAAGGAACCTCGATCTATTTTCGTTAGAAAGAAGGCGAATTAGAAGAGACCTCATAGAAGCGTTCAAAATTAGGAGGGGTTTATCTGGGATTCTTCCTGAGGTACTCTTCAGTGATACCCCGTATGCTGGTACCAGGAGCCACGAGCACAAACCGATGAAGAAAAGGAGTAGGTTAGGTGTGAGGTCCAACTACTTCAGCAATATAATAGTAAATAGGTGAAATAGACTACCTGAGGAACTAGTCAACTTGCCTA